AATTTGAAAAAATGCAGGCACTTTTCTTTAGTTTTAGGTGAGTTGTGTAATACAAGACTAACAATGAATAATTTGGGTACGTTTTGTTTCAAAGGACTTTTAAATTTATGAGGAAATATCAATCCACTGCCTAAAAATCAAACTGATGGTGTAGATATTTTTGAATCTTTTACACCTGTAAGAGAAGAATTTCAGGTAGATATGGAAAACCTAATTTTTATTGTGACAGATGGTTCTTTAGCTATGTTAGGTCAAAAATTCAAATACTGAAATTTTAAAATAAGAGGCTGATGATTCTCTTATGATTTTGTTCCATTGTATGACACAAAGTAAAAATATTTATGTTCAGTTTTCTGAAACAGACTATGAAAACTGTCATGGATACAGTTGTTAAAATTGTTCAGCATGTACATGAAAATGCTATGAATCACTGCCAGTCTATAGAACTGTTGAAAGAAATGGAAGACAATTCAGTGATCTCATATTCTTTGCCAATGCTTTTGGTTGAGTTCTGGACAAGTTTTACAATTATTTAGTGTACTCTTAATTTCAACTCAAGATTTTCTTGAAACCAAAAGAATGCTTGCAAAATAGTCGATAATCAAAGACCTAAGGCAGTGTGATTATGTTTTCTCACTTATATCCCACTGCATATGAATGAGCTAATTTTGAAACTCTTCGAAAGGTTAATTTGTGACTTAGCTAAGCAGTTACAGGAATTTATGTTGCCATGAAAACATTTAATAATACAAATCAGTAGGAACAATTTTATACACTTTTCTAACATGAATCAATATGCAGAACACTTTAATTATAATCAGTAGTAACATGTAAATTGTCCAAAAATACTATAAGAAAAATTTGCAGGATACTTTATTGATATTGAAGTTTCTCTTAAATTTATGCACTATCCCTTTGAAATAATATTGAGTTTACACTAGAGTTCATGAATTTATTCAACTTGGAGAGGCACAGTTTTCAAACTAATATGCTTTTGCTTTAAAAGAGTTAAATCAATTTTCCCCAAAAGATGAAACAGTTCTGTCAATACAATGTGATATTAAATGGTTTGTTTTCTTATTGTTGAGTTTTGAGAGTTCTTTGTGGATTCTGAATACTAGTCCTTTGACAGATATAGGATTTGCAAATATTCTCCAATCTGTAGCTTTTCATTCTTTTAACAGTGCCAGTGTAGCCTTTTTTAAGTCAAGGCATTGAGGTCAGGGTTTGTGACTTCCTTCGTTTAATGATGATTTTTGCTGGTGACAAGGTTTGGCATTAAAAATATGTTTTGGCTTATATTTGGGTGTTTTGAGTTCATATAAAGTAGAGTGGAAATAAGGGTGATGTATGTCTTGTGAAAATTAATAAAGGGAAACCTCACTAAACTGGAGTCAGGAGGCCAGAAGGGGGAAGCTCTATCATGTACATACCACTCCACATCAATACATATCCTAATAGGAAGAGAAGTACCTTGCATCTCCAGCAGGAGGTGACACCACTTTACTTCTGCCAGCAGGAGGAAGAAAACATTTTTTCCTTGCCTGGCAATAGCTCAGCCAATAAAAAGCCACTATACTTCAAACTCCCAATTTCCTCCAAAGGACCTTTAGTTTCTAGAAGCCCCTCCCAACTTGCCCTTCTCTATAAAAGAGTTTCCTGTCCTTTGCTTAACTGGACTTGCATGTGGCTCACCATAGTTCCATGTCCTGAATTGCAAATCTTTGCTGCTCCCAAATAAACCCGTTTTCCTGGTAAAATTAAATGGTTGTTCAATTATTTTAGGTTAGCAGTTTACTGACTTCTGTCTTCCCCTGACAAAATATGGTTTGTCCCTTAAGGAATCCAATGAGAGCAAAGCAAAGAAAGGAGCACTGATAGAATATATTAATGGCAGTTGCACACAAACTCCTTTCCCATCTAACTTAGCATTAGAACTCAGCATCACAGGAACGTGTATTAACACATCTACTTGAATTTAACAATGATGTCAGATTCTCTGATAGAAAATGAAGCTGATTTGATGGGCTTGACTATGAGAACTGGCACCTCCAGTTAGATTCTGTCGCCCATATTTTGCATGTATTGAATGAGCTAAATTTGCACCTCTAAACTTTTGAAGGAAATATATTTCAAGCACTTAAGACAAAAATACCTTTCCAAAAGAAATTAAATTAACAAAGGTGTATTTAAATGAACAATATTCTAATTTTCCTAGCCCTTTCTGAGTATATCAGGTTAAACAAAATGCCTCTAAGTAAGAGTAACTGGTATAATTGATAGTAGTTTGATAAGCCTTGGTAAAGTCTTTTTAGCCTACCTCCCAGAAAATAAGAAAGTGGATAATTCTAATGACTTTTGCAATGCAGGTGGTTTCAAATTCTCTGCTTTCAACAAAAAATAAAGGAAAATCTAATCAAGTTGTCAGCTGAGAGATTATTAAAAATAATTTCTGGTGATGAATCACTGTTATTGTTTTTGCATATATAGATACAGTCATTCCTCAGTATCTGCACGGGATGAGTTCCAGGACCCCCGTGGATAACAAAATCCTTGGATGCTCAACTTCCTGATATGAAATGGCATTCCATGCAAGGTAGGTTGAATTTATGGATATGGAACCTGCTGATACAGAGGGCTGACTATATTTCAGAAAGTGTTCAATAAAATGTGTGACATTTTGTCATCTATTTATATATGTGAACAAGGTTTTTCAGCATTAGCATTTATTAAAAAATAGAAATAGAATTTATTGTTGAACCTTGTCTAATGTTAGTGTTAAGTAATGTTCATCACTCATATAACTCAATAGCAAAACCTCCCACAAATAATCCAATTAAAAAATGGGCAGAAGACCTATATACTTGTGTATGTGTCTGTGTATATATATATATATATATATATATATATATATATGAATGTTATTCTGCCAAAAAAAAAGAAAAGAAAAAGAAGAAAATCCTACCTTTTGTGACAACATGGATGGAGCTTGAGGGCATTATGCTAAGGGAAGTAAGTCAGACAGGGAAAGACAAATACTGTATGATCTCACTTAAGTGTGGAATCTAAAAACGTTGAGCTCATAGAAATAGAGGGTAGAATGGTGGTAGCCATGGGCTGGGGGTAGGGGATAAGGGGACATGTTAGTCAAAGGGTAAAAACTTATATAAAAATTTATATAATGAATAAATTCTGGGGAGCTAATGTAAAACATGGTGACTATAGTTAACAATACTGTATTGTATACTTGCAAGTTGCTAAGAAAGTAAATCTTAAGTGTTCTCACTGTAAAAAACAAAAGTAATTATGTGACATGATGGAGGTGTTAACTAGCCTTATTGTGGTAAGCATTTTGCAAAATACACATATATCAAATCATCGAATCATACACAATGTTAAATGTCAGTTATATCTCAATAAAGCTGCAGTGGGCAAGTAATGTTCATCCACAGATAAATGTGTTTTTAAAAGAAGATGGACTTTTTTTGTGGTACGCGGGCCTGTCACTCCTGTGGCCTCTCCCGTTGCGGAGCACAGGCTCCGGACGCGCAGACTCAGCGGCCATGGCTCACGGGCCCAGCCGCTCCGCGGCATGTGGGATCTTCCCGGACCGGGGCACAAACCCGCGTCCCCTGCATCGGCAGGCGGACTCTCAACCACTGCGCCACCAGGGAAGCCCAAAATTTACTTTTTGTTTAACAATTATTTATATAAATTTACAATATTTTTTGTTTTGATTGATAGTAATAATTGCAATGATAATTCAATCCAGGAGAAAAATTTAACAAGAGCCTTTGGTCACAGGAAGTAAAAAAGAGGGACTTCCCTGGAGTTCCAGTGGTTAAGACTCCCTGCAGTTTCGACCCCTGGTAGGGGGAAGCAGGGCCAAAGAAGTAAAAAAGGTTGAAAATTCAATACATATACATATTTTTGTTGCAGAAAATTATAACAAAGTGACGAAAGTGATCACAAAGTTATAAAAGACTTTTGTCCTAAAATATACTCCTTAGAATAGAGTTCTGTGAGGAAAGTGGAATGGAAATACAAGTTCAAGATGAAAGAATGATAAAATTTCTGATGGAAAGGAAGAAATTGTTCATGTATTTTTCCAGCTAGGGCTGACCCCTCCTACCCCTCCCTCCTTTCTTGTAACCACTGCATGTGTTTGCAAAAAAACTTTTAGGAGGTGTCCAATAAAAAAAAAAGTTTGAAGACCACTGGTTAATCTACTCTTTCAAGAAATTTGGGGTGTACCTGGAGGGGTGGGATAGGGAGGGTGGGAGGGAGGGAGACAAAGAGGGAAGAGACATGGGAACATATGTATATGTATAACTGATTCACTCTGTTATAAAGCAGAAACTAACACCATTGTAAAGCAATTATACCCCAATAAAGATGTTAAAAAAAAAAGAAAAGAAATTTGGGGTGTAATGGAGAAGAGAAGGACGGGTGGCTAGAAGGAGGCTTATATCAAAGGAAATTTTATTTGTTAAGATGGAAGATTTAAGCAAATGTGCCTGGAATTGTGCTTCTTTTCCAGAAAAGACAGGCGCAGAGAAGCTATGAGTTTACTTCAGATGAGAAGTCTCTGGAACAAAATCCAGGTAATCGATCAGTCAGGATAGGCTAGGTTATGCTGCAGCAACAAGCACCCACTAAATCTCAGTAACTTAAACATATCTCAGGTTTATTTCTCTCCTTTACTGCATGTCCTAGTGTGGGCCGGCAGGGGCCACCAAATTACGATTTCATGTCTACAGTTAGGGCAGCTGGCAGAAAAAGATGCAACGACTTCCTAGCTTTTTAAGCTGATGTGAAGTTGAAGTATTAGTTCTAGGTGTTTCAAGAGTGTCAGAGAAGTGCCAATCCTACCAAGTACCTAGGCGGGGAAAGAGCTGGAAACTTGGATGCACAGTGCTAAGGACTACTTTCTGTCATTTCCAGTATTGGAAATAGACACAAATTTGTATTATCTGGTACGTACTGTGACACCAGGCAATATGGGGTAAAATAAAATATAAGACATTTTTAGTTCATTTCAACAGATCACGGAGATACAGGCCCTGTTCTCTGCCATTCAGTTATTGCTGTGTAAGACTGTAAGTTCCTTTGTCTCTTGGGGACTTTGCTCTTCCAGCTCTTACATTTTCTACTTGTAATGCACTTGGGACTGGAATAAGAGAGGAGGAAGAGAGCAAGCCCCACCAGAGTTAGGTCTGTTACCTGAAGAAAACACACTTTGGCACTTTCCTGGTGGCACAGTGGTTAAGAATCTGCCTGCCAATGCAGGGGACACGGGTTCAAGCCCTGGTCCAGGAAGATCCCACATGCCATGGAGCAACTAAGCCCGAGTGCCACAACTACTAAGCCGGCACTCTAGAGCCCGAGAGCCACAACTATTGAGCCCACGTGCCACAACTACTGAAGCCTGCACACCTAGAGCCCTGTGTTCCACAAGAGAAGCCACTTGCAATGAGAAGCCCAGAGCAGCCCCTGCTCACTGCAACTAGAGAAAGCCCAGGCGCAGCAACGAAGACCCAATGCAGCCAATAAATAAACAAATAAATGAATAAAAAATTTAAAAAATTAAATTATAAGAAAAAAAAGAAAACAAACTTTAGTATTTTTGTCCTGAAGTCTATTGGCTAATGTGCTTTCAGTCAGCAGAGAGCAGTAAGGAAACAGTGGCTCAATTCTGCATTGTAATAGCGATTTTAAAAGTCTAGAGGTCACTCAACTTTGGCTGCACGTTAGAATCATCTGGGGGAGGTTTTTAAAAATACCCCGCTGGGGCTCCACCCCAGACAATGAAATCAGACTCTCTGGCAGTGGAGGCCGAACAACATCGGTATTTTTAAAGAGTTTCACAGCTCTCCGCACCGAGTATTCTTCAACCCCTCACTACTTGTTGGAGTGGTTGGATGACACCTAGTGGGCGCATTCTCAGAAAAGAGTTCTTAAATCGAATCCGCTCCTTTTCCTCCTCCCAAGAGTTGTTGGGGTAGGTATCTATCTATCTATCTATCTAATCTATCTAATCTATCTTATCTATTATCTATCTAATTTTTTTTTGTGTGTGGTACGCGGGCCTCTCACTGTTGTGGCCTCTACTGTTGCGGAGCACAGGCTCCGGACGCGCAGGCTCAGCGGCCATGGCTCACGGGCCCAGCCGCTCCGCGGCATGTGGGATCTTCCCGGACCGGGGCACGAACCCATGTCCACTGCATCGGCAGGCGGACTCTCAACCCCTGTGCCACCAGGGAAGCCCCTTCTATCTAATCTATCTACCTATCTATTATCTATCTATCTAATCTATTATCTATCTATTATCTAATCCATCTACCTATTATCTATCTATCTATTATCTATCTATTATCTATCGATCTATCTTTACCTATCTATTATCTATTATTTTTTATCTACCTACCTATTATCTAGTTAATCTACCTATCTAATCTATTATCTATCTACCTATTATCTATCTAATCTATCTAGCTAATCTATTATCTATCTATCTAATCTATTATCTATCTACCTATCCAATCTATCTATTATCTGTCTACTTACCTATTATCTATCTAATCTATTATCTATCTAATCTATCTATTATCTATCTACCTATTTATTATCTACCTATCTATATCTATCTATCTATCTATCTATCATCTATCTATCTATCTATATCTTTTGGCCACACCGTGGGGCATGTGGGATCTTAGTTGCCCGACCAGCGGTCGAACCCGCGCCCCCTGCAGTGTTAGCGGGGGTCCCAACCACTGGACCGCCAGGGAAGTCCCAGGGTTGCACTTTGATGGGAGTGGGGGACATCAAGCTAAAGAAAATCTTTGGGACATCAGCGGGTTTCTAACGGCCGGGGCGAGCGCATTTCCCAGCGCATAAATCAGCTTGCAAAAGGACTGGAAAAAAGGAAACAAGGGTGGACCCAAGCTGCAGCGAAGGAGGAGGGGACAGGGAGAGCGAGGGAGGAGCAGGAGGAGACGTAGCCGCAGGGCTGGCAGCCCCCGGCGTAGCCCTGACTTCCGCGCGCCAACCCCGGGGGTGGGCGGAGCGGCGGCGGTCTGGGGACCAGGGCGGGCCTGGACGCCTGCCCGGCCGTCCCCATGTGACTGGCCGAGGACGACCTGGGCTGCATCATCTGTCACGAGCTGCTGGCCCGGCCCGCCACGCTCTCCTGCGGCCACAGCTTCTGTCACAACTGCCTGATCGGTCTGTGGGGCGCAGGGCGCCACGGGTCCTGCCCCACCTGCCGCGAGGGCGCCGAGCGGCCGCTGCAGCTGCGGAAGAACACGATGCTGCAGGACCTGGAGGACAAGTACAGTCGGGAGGCGCGCGAGCTAGAGGGCCCGAACCCAGCGCCCGGACCCCCGCGCCGCACCGCGCAGCTGCCGGTAGGAAGACGGGACCAGAGACTGCCCTCTGACCTCCATCCGCCCGCGCGCGCCGACTGCATTCCATTATCCCCACGGCGCTTCCTCTCCTCTTGATTGTATTTTCACGTTACTTTTCGCAGTCTGAACGTAGAACCCGTCCTTTGGAAAGTTCAGAAAAATATGAAGAAGCAGAAAAAAAAAAAAATCAAAATCAGAAATCCTATCAACCTAGGCGCTATCCACCCTGGCCTCTTTCCACTTATTTCCAGTCTTTCTGCACCCACTCTGTCTCTCTGACAATTTTTAATTGTGCTAAAATATGTTTACATTATATAACATAAAATTTGCCATTTAACCATTTTAAAATATACAATTCAGTGGCATTATATTTACAGTGCTGTGCAACCATCACCACTATCTAGTTCCAAAACTTTTTCATCACCACAAACAAGCTTTGTACCCATGAAGCAATAATTTCTCCCTCCCCTGCCCTCCAGCCCCTGGTAACCTCTATTGTACTTTCTGTCTCTGTGACTTTGCCTACTCTAGATATTTCATAGAAGTGGAATCATACAATATTTGTCACTTTGTTTCTGGCTTTGGCTTCTTTCACTTGCTATAATGTTTTCAAGATTCATTCATGTCGTAGCATGTATCTGAACTTCATTCCTTTTTGTGGCTGAATAATAATTCCCTTGTATGATTATACCACTTTTTTTTTTTGAATCCATTCAAATATCGATGGACATTTGGATTGTTTCCACCTTTGGGTTATTGCGAGTAATGTTGCAGTGAACGTTAATGTACAAGTATCCGAGTTCCTATATTCAGTTATTTTGGGTAGGAGTAGAATTGTTGGATCATATGGTAATTCTGTGTTTAACTTATTGAGGAACAGCCAAACTGCATTCCACAGCAACAACAATACTTTGCATTCCCATTAACAAAGTAGGATTCCAATTTTCCCCAACTTTTGCTCCTGGGACTTAGGTCTATTTGCTCCTGGTCTATTTGCTTCTGGGACTTAGGTTATTGTCTGTTTCCACCACAGTCTTTTGCCCCAGACACCTGCAAGTTTAACTCCTCTTGCAGAACTTCTGAGTAATACTCACCACCTTTCTGGTCTGAGCTCTGGGTTAGGTGAAACAAAGATGAACACCCTGTGTCATTCCTTCAGGCAGCCCCCAGCCAGGTTAGAACAGACAGACACAATGGTTTGTGAATAAGATCTGCTCTGCTCCTTTGGGAACCAGGACCAGAGTTTCACGCTGGGAATTTTCAATACCATCACTGAGCCAGGAAGGGAATGGGGCAAGGGCAAGTCAAAATGCCACAAAGCTTTCCTACTGCCAGGTTGTGCTTTTTTGATTCAGTGTGTGCCAGAGTTCTGAGAAAGTTGGTTCTGACAGTTTCTGCTTGTCTTGCGCGGTGTGTGTGTGTGTGTGTGTGTGTGTGTGTGTGTGTGTGTGTGTGTGTGTGTTGGGGGGGCAGGGTTGGTGGAGGGTAAAAGAGCTTGGAGCTATCCACTCCTCTTTTTTAAAAAAAATTAATTAATAGACTTTATTTTTTAGAGCAGTTCTAGGCTTATAGAAAATTGAGCAGATAATACAGAAAATTCCAATATACCCCTCATCGTTACCCTTATTATTAACATCTTGCATTAGTTTGGTACACTTGTTACAATTTATGAACCAATATTGATACGTTGTTATTAACTAAAATCCACAGTTTACATCAGGGTTCACTCTCTGTGTTGTACCGTTCTATGGATTTTGAGAAATGCATGAAGTCATGTATCTGTAGTTAACAGTTTTATGCCTTGAAAATCCCCTGCACTCTGCCTCTTTGTACCCCCTCCCTCTCCCCAACCCCTGGCAACCACTGACTTTTTGCTATCTCTTTAGTTTTGCGCTTTCTACAATGTCGTATCTTTGGAATCATACAGTATCTAGCTTTTTCAGGCTAGCTTCCTTCATTAAACAAAATTAAGGTTTGTGGCTTGACAGCTTATTTCTTTTTATTGTCAAATAATATTCCATTGCGTAGATGTCCCACAGTTTATCTATTCACCTTTTGATGGACATATTGGTTATTTCCTTTTTTTTTTTTTTTTTTTTTTTTTTTTTGCAATTATGAATAAAGCTGTTCTCTTCTTTTTGGTTATAAATACAGCATTGGGAGTTCCCTCGTGGTCTAGTGGTTAGGACTGGGTGCTTTCACTGCTGTGGCCCAGGTTCAATCCCTGGTCGGGGAACTGAGATCCTATAAACCAAGTGGTGCAGCCAATAAATAAATAAATAAATAAATAAATAAATAAATAAATAAATAAATAAATAAATACAGCATTATTCCTCAGGTCCTTAAAACTCTTTGTTAGTATAGTTTATAGCGACTGAATATACTTTGCATTGGCTTTTAAATTAAAATGATTGCCTATGGATGGTAGGATATCGGATAATTTAAAACATTTCTTCTTTTGCATTCTCTGCATTTTCTAAATTCACCACAATGAGTGTGCAGTTCTTTTATGGATGGAAAAAGCAACACACTTACTTTTTATTTGGTTTTTTTTTTTTTTTTGGCAAGATAACCTATACCTTCTGAGCCAGAGCTCTAGTAAGTTATCAAAAGGGGGAAGGAAGTCAACCTCCAAGTCATCAGGATTTGTCTTTCCTTTTTCTATCTCCTGCCCTTGAGGCTTACGACATTCTCTCTATTGACTCCAGCTGATTCTATGGCAATGCTTAGGAGCGGGGTGTCCATAAGGCTTCCTGCAGCTGGGTTTGATAAGGAGTTTTATATTCAGCATCATGATAAGTTTGCATTCCAAACCAGTGTCTGGGATTCTCAGGGAAAGCTCTTTGGGGCTCTTTGACCACATCAACAAGAATGTAGGAAGTTATTCACCCTCTGGATTACCAATAGAGGTAGGTCCATTATCACTCTTTGAGGAGGTACCAGACTCTTTATCCCTTTACTCCAGAGTACAGGAGCAAATTCAAGGCCATTGTCCATTTGCCCAATGCGTGGAGAGGGCTGCCTATATCAAATTATCCAGCATTCTCTGAGTCAAAGCCGTATGCCTAGAGTTCCCCCCTGATGCCCTTGGATGTTACGTAAGCATGCCAATAGAGTAAGTTTTCCTAGATGGACCATGGCCTTGTGTTCTCCAGTTTCATGGCTTTTGGGAGATCTCCTTGATGGAGTATATATATACAATTCCATTAAGTACACAGTTCAATACAGAAAAGCTTTCCTTATCACTCTTAGTCAACCCGTACGACTCATTTTGTAGTAGAGTTTATAGGAGAGATTTTCCATAGCAGGGGCCATTCAGCTTCATTCAACAGAACTGATGGCAGTACTTCCTCATGCAAACTAATCGTTCAAACCTCTAAAGATTTCTCTGGCTTGGAGACTTATGATATAGCTACCCTGGAGTCCGTCTAATTCTACTTTTGTATATTAACATGTTTGCTTCTGTTGCTGTTTTCCTCAGCCCCCTGTTAGATATGCCACACAATAACTGTTTCACATCTAGAGGGGCTGACTGCTAATGGCTCTAAGAAAATCACAAAGGGGGCTTGTTCTGCTTTCCCTTCTGGATGCACTTTCCTTGTTTCCAAGGAAAGAGTCCGTTGCCCTGTTAGCTGCATCAAAGTCCCATGGGGGGTAGGATGCCCTGTCTGTCTCCAGGATAATCTGTTATTGCTGCTCCTCCTGATGGCTCAAAAAGACTTCCAGGTTAGTAAAAAGCTTGTGTTTTGAGCATTCTTATCTTCTTTAGATGTCCTTTCACTGCAGATTCACTGCCCTACAGCTTCTAAGTGTGAGTGTATAACTTTCCCAACTATCCAGTCAGTGATCATCTTAATTGGCTGGTGACTTGCTACTGTCCCCAGCAGTGAGGTTTTCTGATGACAGGAGTCAGGTAAAATTCTTTCCCAACTTCCAAAATCCCATAACAGTGGAATGAAGGAACCCACACTGGATGCCACTTTGTGCATGGTATACGGTAGCCCACACCACTAATGACACATGGAATTAACAATGAGAAGTTTGATGAGGATGACTTATAAGCAGAGGAGTAGCAGAGTGCACAGGCTCCCCTGAACCAGCACAGTGATGCAGTGAGGTGCAGGTGGCCTAAAGAGCTGGACAGTGAAGTGGAAAGCACTCTGGTAGAATAATGTTTCTAACTGCCTCACACACTTACAGGGAAGGCCAGCAAGGAGTTGGGTGGAAGGGACTTAGTTTTCCACGTAGCAAAGAGATTTTGGTCCAGGAAGTAACTAAGGAGCCCCCTGAGTTCAGCTGGGCTTTGGTTAGTGAGCCGACCTTGCTATCAGGGGAATCCTTACTTCTGTTTAGTTGAACTAATTCATTGTGAAGACCTCAGGAAATGGGAAGGAAATGGACAGCCCCTGGCCATTGGATAGCAAAGGCTTGTCCTTTCTTCAGAAAGTCATGTCTAGATTCTGGTTCAACAGTCATTAATTTCCCCCACTGAGCAACACCTGCCAGTATGTCCATATTGAAAATCCTCCCTGATTCCTGTAGCTCTGGGGCTCAGCTCTTCAACTATTTCACACTCACTGTCTTAGGCTGACACCAAAGGATTTAAAATTAGAAGACATGGTTTTGAGTACATGCTTGGCCATTTGCTAGCCGTGTGGTCTTGGAGAAGGCACCCATCTTCTGATGAATCTGTTTTCTCATCAGTAATTATCTAACTCATGGGACTTCTTTAAGAGGCAAATAAAACAACAGATGTCAATGCTCTTTTCAGATTCCAAGGCACTCTACATGAATTTGCTATGATTATTATTGCTACCTGAAAAATTCTAGGGAATCTTATGGTACATGAATGACACTGTTCCCCTCGCCTTGGAGCAGCTGTTCTGGTTCTGTTTATAGCACATGGGTGAACAGTTTACTCCAAGGGAATAGTTTGCTCATTACAGGATTTT